GGGGGAGGGCTGTGGTGGTGGACATGGACCCACCAGATGGCGAGCGATGGCTCCCGTTGAATTGTGTGCCCCAGGAGGAGTCGCATGCGAGACTGCCCCAGGTCCAGCGCCAGAGCCCGCTGGACAGGCCTCTATCGGGGGCAGGAGGGGGGTGATGGGACAAACCCACCTGCCAGAGGGAGGGGCGAGCCAGGGCGGCTCCTGGAGGGGCTCGTGGCGCCGCCCGGGAGGCGGGGGCTCGTCCACCGTGTCGCGGTCTTGATGAGGGTTGGCCGGCGTGCCGGCTTGGCGCGGCGCAAGCACACGCCGAAGCATCGTCGGGGCGACTGAACTGGGCGCCGGGCGCCGGAGAAAAATGTGTCACAGAGCACAGGTGCTCGGTCCGCGCGCGCGCGCGCGCGCGCGCGAGCAAGCGCGCGAGCGATCGTGCAATATTGGCGCGCGGTCCCGGACGCCGGGATGAACTACTGGGGGCCAAGCGCGGGGGTTTGAGGGACCGGAGAATGGTTGGGGCCCCAGCTGGGTGTGGGCTGGCGCTCAGCGCGGCGTCCCCGTCAAGCCAGCAATCGAGCGAGGCCAAGGGGGCCGGCACTTTCGCGCGCCGAGCCGAAGGGGAAGACATAGTGGTTGCAAAGGGCGCCGGCAGGGGCGCCCAACCCTTGCTGGGGCTGGTTGGCCCTGCGCGATCTACCGTCGGGCCGGGTGCCGAGCGGCGGGCCCCACCGCCGGCCGAGCCCATGTAGTGTCTGGCCGCCGTCTTCCCGAAAAAAGGAGGCAGACCCCCCTCTCCCCCAAGCACGTAGAGTTTAAGGGGGGGGGGGGAGAGAGAGAGAGAGAGAGAGGGAGAAAGCGAGGGAGGGAGACACCCACGTCCCCGGCCACCATCCAGTGAGGGGGGGGAGGGGCGGGCGGGGGAGACAGGCGTCGGCCGGGAATGCCTCGGACGGCCAGGGCGGGGGGGGGGGGGGGGGGGTGTTTCCTCGTGCGTGGATATCGGGGGAGTGTGTGCACGCGGGAGGACGACCCCTGAGAGGAATGAGCCTGACCGGCGGGGGGGGGGGCCGAGAAGAAATGCTTGGCAAGTTGGGGCCCGGCCGGTCCGAGTGCTTCGGGCTGCGCGGAAGGCTGTGTCAAGGCGCGGGATCATCGCCACCACCGGCTCCACTGGCGCATCCATCCGGGGGACCATGTCCGCACATCGGCGAGGGGGTGCCTGTGTGTGTGTGTGTGTGTCTGCCCTCCTGACTCCGCCCCGGAAAGACCCCTCCCCGGGCCCTCGGGGGATTCTCGGGGGGGGGGGGGGGGGGCGCGGACGGGAACAGCCAGAGGAGTTACCCCGGCTGGCTGGCAACCAGCGGAATGACAGCTCAAACCGGGAGGGTGGGAAAAAGGGAATTGGCTCGGCCAGGGGGAGGGGCTCCGAGAGAGCCATGCGGTGAGGACACCCCGCCCCGGAGAGGCGGGCCTGCGGGGGGGGGGGGGGGGGGGCCCCGAGGGGGCGCCACAGCCCTACGGGCCGGGGGGAAAATGGCCCATGTCTGCCTCCTCTCCCGGCCGCCCCGCCTCTCCGGCCGACTCCTCCAAGGGGCGGGGGGTCTTTTCCCAGAGCGAGGCGGCCCGCCGCGGGGCATGGCTGGTGGCGAACAAGCCCTGTCCCTCGGTCCCCCCCTCGCCTGTTCCCGCCCTCGTCCGAGCGCGGAGCGGTGTTCGCCTGGGCCATATCTCGCACACCATGTCCGGCGGCGCGGGATCGCGTTGTCTGCGGGCTCCGGTCGGGCCTTTCATATTGGCCGAGATCCGGCGGGTCGGCCCCGGTGGCCGCCCAGGCGGTGGTCGCCGGTCCGGCAGTCGGTGGTTCTTGCCATCCCCCCTCATGCCCCCCCCCCCCCCGCTCCCTCTCCCCTCCCTGCGCCCCGTCCGGGGACCGGCAGGAAGGGAACAGGGGTGGCGATGGCCGGCTGTGGTGCCGGAGGTCCAGGTACGGAGGAGTCTCGACCTCACTGGCCGGGCGCCAGCCAAACATCCGAGCGGCCGGGGAGCGTCGGCCGACGTACCTACCCCTGCAAAGGGGCGGGGCTGCCGCCAGCAGCAGGATGACCGTGCGTCGGTGGAATATCGAGCGTGCGCTCTGGAGTATGATGGCCGGTCGCCCGGCCGAGCCCCTGACCGGTGCCAGGCTGTCGACACCTCCCTCCATCGAGGGCGCGGGATCGGGGGGCGGGCTAGGGTTGCGGCCTATGCAGGGGGAGAGGGGGGGCGAGCGGCGCGGATGGGCCGGTGTGGGGTCTTCCACTCCGGATGGCGCTGGCCTGGGGGCGCGCTCGACCTTACAGGGAAAGGGGTCGGTCGCCGGGCACAGGGGCACCCCTCCCGAGGGCGGTCGGCCCGAATTTTGCGCCCTCGCCACGCGCATTCCAAGGCCGACGAGAGCCGCCCGGCCGGACGCGAAGGGCCAAGCGGCGGGGCAGCACACGATGCATGGTCGAGGCCGGCAGGGGGAAGTGCCCGGATCACGTATCGGCCGGCCGCTCGACGGATACACATGTCTGGCGCTCCTGCAGGCGCGCCAGGCCGGCTGACACCAAGCAAGCGGGAAATAATAATTCCCCCCCGCGGCAATGATGACGGGCCAATATCCGACTCCAACCTGGAGGCGAGGCCGCGTGTATGCATGTAGGCCCCCGCGGCTGTCGCTATGGTGCCCCCCCTTTTCCCCGCCGCCCGGTGCTCTCTCTCTCTCTCTCTCTCTCTCCCCCTCTCTCGGCTCGAGCATGCCCCGACCTGTGGCGGCTGCGTTCGGGATGGTGACGAGGAGGGGGCCCGGCAACAGGTAAATCTTGGTCGGTGGTCTAGCAATATCATAGTTTCCATTTAAATGCGGCTTTTTCGGGCCACAAACAGGGAGTGCCCGCCTCATTCCGTCCCCCTCCCGCCCCGGTGGCCGAGCGCCAGGGCGCGCGCAGGCGACATCATGCACACACGAGGACGCACATCACAGGCACCCGGGGCCGTGGGTGACGCGGAACACACCCTTTCCCGGGGCCCTGGCAGTCGTATGTCGTTCAATGGTTCCCCCCTGGCCAGCAGGGCCCGCGTGTGTGCGTTACCGCGTGGGTGCCCGCGTGCATGCGGCATGCGAGAGGGAGCGTGTGCGTGCGTGCGTGCGTGCGTGTGAGTATATTATGTCCGCGCTCATGATGTGCCGAGCTAACTGCCTGTTCCGCGCCCCTCGCCCGCCCCCCCCCCCCGGGGGGGGGGGTGGCAGCGATATACAGGTGGGCGCCGAAGGAGCGAGCCCAATGTGGCGGCGCCATTGACGAGGCGGCGACACGGGCTTGGCTCTTCTTGGGATCGGACGAGGGGTCACGCCGCAAGAAACGCGTCAGACTCTTCTCCCCCGCCAGGGATGTCCCCTGCTCTTGGCCCCCCCCCCCCCCCCCCCCCCGCGGCCACCCCCACGCATCCGAACGTGCTGTCTCCCATGGCCCGGGGACAATGTGTCGTCCCCCTCGGAGGAAGCCCGACCGGGGGTGGCCAGAGGCCGGGGAGAAGATACAGAGGCCCCCAAATTCGGCGGCGTGCCTGCCGGACTCACCCGGCGGGCGCCGGGGCTGCCTTTTGAGGGCGCCCAGCGGGGGCGCGCACGCCTCTGTTGCTTGGTGCCGGTGGTCCTCAGGGGACATTGCGCTTCCCTTGTGCCCGGAGAGGGAGACCCGGCCTTGGATCGGCACAGGGACTCGCGGGGCGGCCAGGCCCCGAGGGCTTGAAGGGCCCGCCTCCCGCCCCCAAGCATGGGATGTTGTGGAAGGGGCGGCGGATCCCCACCGGGCGGGAAGCGGCGCATGGCACTGGTGAGCCCGCGGGTGCGGCCAGTTCCTCGGGAGGAATTCACGGCCCCCGGGTGCAGTGCGCTTGACCCCCTTTCCCCGGCTGGGGCTGGGAGCACTCAGCCACATCGCCGGCGCGCTTCGCCCACCGTGAAGGTCCATAATATTTGGACCCCTTAAATGATGGTTTTGACACCGAGGGGGCTGGCCCGCGGCGTGCTGGCCTGGGTCGGCTGATCCTCCGACATATCACACCGGCCGCCACGAATCAGGCGGTCACATCCAAGAGCCCGGATCACGGAACACCACATGTCCGAGATAGTGGACCAATCTTGATGCCAAAGATCGGCCCTCCCGCCTGCGCCGCACACCGACGAGGATACGCGGGCTAATGGGGGGGCTATTGCGGCCGGGGGAACCCTGCTTCTGTGCCCTGATCTTGAGGGGAGTCCTGCTTTTTCAGCTGTTTGTGCCTCCCTGTGTTCGCTCCTCCAGTGCGGGGGGGGGGCGAGACTGACGCCCGCCTATCGGGCGTTGGTTGGCCGCTAGCGACCCCACGGCCGCCGGCTTCGGCGTGCCCTCTTTGTCCGATCCCCCGCTGAGGGGCGGGGGCGGGGGCAGGGTGGCGGGAGTGAGGGAGGCCCCTCATGCCCGGCAATGTCGGGGTTTCACCAGTATAATCATCGAGATACTCATTGGAACGCGCCGATGAGGGCACTTTTGAGAAGGGCCTGTGTGTGGGCGTGGTTCGGCCACCCGACCAGGGGTCGAGGTCTCTCCGGGCTTCCTCCGGCATCTTCTCCCCTTCCCCTCTGGGCGGTTTGCTGGATGTGTGTGGATGTATGTGGTCCGGCCTTCCGGCTTCTCAGACATGGAGCCCCGGGGCTTGAAGACACACCGTCCGACGAGGGGCAGTCGCGGCGGCGGAGGGGTGCACGTCGATCTCCTCGAGACAAGATCTCCTCCGCTTCGCAGCATCGTCAGAGCCGCCCCCCCGGGGGGTGGCCCCCCCCCCCCCCCCCCCCCCACCCAGGCCGGGACCCGGGCAGGGACAGTGCAAGCGAGCAGCCGCAGATGCCCGCGTGCCGCGACGTACGCGCCCCTGGCGCTAATTCGTCGGTTGCCGGGCGCGTGAATGTCGACTGGCATCATCCACACATGCCTTTTCTCGCTTTCCCGCTCCCGGCATTTGCTCGCCCTCGCTTCGGCCCCCTCCTACAACAACACCCCCCCCCCACACCCCCACGCACACAGAAGACCCGGCCCCATCCCCCCTCGACGCGCAGCCTCCTGACAACCGAAGCCACCTTGGCGACTCCCCCCCCCCTCCCTTCTGTCCCCCTCTCCTTTTGCCCCTCGCTCGCCTCCTCCGCCCAATCATAGCTCGCTCCTTCTCCCTCGGCCCGCCCCCGCCCCCCTCCCCTCCCCCCCTTCGGTTGCCGGGTCTGTCGCCTGAGGAGGAATATCCCACTCCTCGCCTCTCTCTCTCTCCCCCCCCCTCCCAGACTGCACCATGTCCCTCTCCGACACCGGCATTGAGCTGAGCAACTTCAGCAGCCCCTCAGTGCAGTCGGACATCCCCTCCTCAATGGCCTCCTCGGTGGAGGCCTTCTCAACGGTCCCCAGCGAACCGGGGCTCAGCATGCCAAAGAAGTACGGCTCGCCCCTATCCGGCCACATGAGCAAGGCATCCCTCGGAGCCGACCTGGAGCCCGACCTGGATCCCACCACGGACCCGGCCGATGATGCACGCCTCGCGGCGCAGGATTACCAGCAGCAGCATGCGACCGCCGGGTCCGGTAGCCGGGGTCGCACCCTCTTGCACCAAAGCGTGGCCACCATCCGGTTCTACTTCACCCAGACCGCTCGTCATGTTACGCGCAATCCCGGATCCGCTTTCCTGGCTTTGCTGGCCGTGACCATCGCCGTGCTGGCGGTGGGTGTGGCCCTGACCGCGCTCGAGGTGGCCCCAGTCCTGTTCCTGGGCATGGCCGAGTCCAAGGCCGCCGAGATTGACCTGCTCTTGACCCCGGCCCAGCTGGGCGGTGACATCGACTTCCTGGCCTTGAACTTCACTCTCCTGGACCAGGAGCTGGCACGGGACAACTTGGCCGACGCACCGGCCCACGGTGCCGAGGCCGCGGTGTCCGTCTCGCCCGATGGCCTGGAGCAACTGGCCTCCGGGCAATTCTCCGGCGCCTGGCAATGGCGTGCGCGCACCGGGCGCAAGAACATCCGCGTCAATATCAACTCCCTGGGCACTTGCCTTGTGCAGTCAGATGTCAGCGCCATCGGTGGTGCTGGTGGCAGCAGCAACAGCAACAGCAGCAGCAACAACAGCAACAGCAACAGCAACAGCGGTGGGGCCGGGGCGCGCATGCTGGCCGACCCGGGCCCCGCATCGGACTTCGAATCTCCCATTCCCGATGGCGAGGCCCCTCCGGCCGTGGAATCCTTTGTCGATGGCCAGGCCGGCTGGGCGCCGCCCTTGACCCCGATCGACCGGCATTCACGGATGAATTTCAGCACCTGGACGCGCGCGCTCGGCCGCTGGACCGGCATCACCCCGGCCCCGGCATCCCCTCGTCGGATGGAGCCCTTCCGCATCGCGGAGTACATTCCGCCCGACTCGCAGCAGCAGCAGAACCTCTGCATCGAGGACGCCCGCCAGTGCCGGGAGCTCCTCTGTCCCCCGTCCATGACCGGCAGCATCCTGCTGGTGGATGCCAAGCGCGAACGGGCCATGGGCCTCGGCCGTGGCTGGACCAACACCCTGGAGCGCGGCACGTGTGTCATCCACCGTGAGGTGGCTCGAACGGTCGGCCTGCAAGCCGGCGACCATCTGCTGGTCACTTTCCATGTGGACTCCAAGGCTACCCTCCTGCCCTACTTCCATGCCATTGGCCTGAACATCACCGAAACCGATGAGGAATCTGGCAGCCTGGCCATGCCGTTGAACACCGTGACCGTGTCCCTGCCTTTGCGCGTGTCCGAGGTGGTTTCCTCATCGAAGGGCAAGTGGCCTTCCCGCAATCGAGACGGTGCGTGGCGCCCATCTTCCGGTCCCCTGCTGCCTACTCTGCTTTCCTCCGGGCCCCCTCCCCCCCCCCCCCCGGGAATCTGCCCTCGGTCTTTCACTGGCTGTCTAATCCTCCCCCCTCCCCCGTCCTCTTGGCCCCCATCCTGTCCATCTGTTCCCTCCCCCCCCCTCCCTCCTCCCCCCTCCTCGCCTCCCCCTCGACCGACCCTCCACGCCTGTCCCCCCTTGCGGACCACCTCGCTTCAGTCATCATCATGGACATCCACAACTTCCTGCCACTGGCCAGCAGCGGCATTGAGCCGGATGCCAAGTTCACCGAGCAAGTCCTGGCGGACCTGGCCGCGTTGGACCCACTGGTCGCCGTGGACAGCGTTCTCTTTGCCATTCCCCCGGTTGGGGAGGAGTCGCTGCGACTGAGCCAGCTCGAGGGGTACTACGATCCGGCTTTGGGGCAAACGTCGCCGGCGCTGCTCGACCGGCCCGGGCTCCAACGGCACGAGGCCTACATTCGGTCGAACTTCGACACCTCGGCGCGCGAAGTGACGCGCTGGGCCTCGCGCATTGCCACGCGCTTGGGTCTGACGCAATTTGAAAACCAATTGCCGGTGCTCGTGGAGTACGAGGAGACGGCCTACGCCACGGCCTTCCTGAGTCTGGCCCTGAACATCATCATCATCCTCCTGGCGGCCGTGAGCGCGCTGCTGGTGGATGCGTTGTTGATTGCCGCGGCCGAGGCGCGGGCCTCCGACTGGGCCAAACTCCGGGTGTTGGGGTTGCGGCGGACGCCGCATGTGGCGGCCCTGGTGCTGATCCACGCCCTCGGGGCGGTGGGCATCCCGGCCACCGTGATCGGTCTCTGCCTGGCGCAGGCTCTCCATTCGGGGGTTGTGCGCTCGGTGCTCGGGTCCTTCGTGCCCGGGGTGACCATTGTCCGGGGGCTGACCCCGGTGGCGGTGGGAGTGGGCCTCGGGGTGGGCCTCGGGGTGCCGCTCATTGTGGCCATTCTCCCCGGCGGCCCGGTAGCCACGGCGAATGCTCCACGCCTGCACGACGCGCTGTATGCCTCCAGCCGGCCTCAAACCCAGGCCGTGGAGATCACCGTGTCCCGGTCCAACCCGGATCGCGCGCGCTCGGCACTCCTGATCACCGGCGCCCTTTTGGGCGGCTTCGGCGCCCTGGTGTACTATGCCCTGCCGTTGGCACTGATCTCGGGCAACTTGGGCCTTCTGTTTGACATTTTCTTCATCATCCTAGCCGGCCTGATCCTCGGGTGTGTGCTTATTGCCCTGAATGCCCAGCCGCTCGTCGAGCGGGGCCTGGTCTCGGCCATGCTCTTTGTGGCCCGGTTCATCGGCGAGTCGGCGGCCACGGCGGGGCTGGTCCGGTCAAACTTGATTTCCCACCGCAAGCGGTATGCCCCCTCTTCCCTCCCTCCCTCCCCTTCCCAGCAACTGGCCGCCCCGCTTCGGGGCTGTCTCATTTTGGCCCTCTGTTCCCCTCCCCCCCCCCTCCCCCCGCCTCGGTTGCGGCCGCTCGCCCGTCACACCTTCACTGACCCTCGGCCCTCCGTCTGGCCTTTCAGCAATCGCAAGTCCGCGTTGATCTACGCCACGTCGCTGTCGTTCGTGGTCTTCCTGGCGGTCGCCGCCGACATCGAGCTCCGGTCCATGGAGTATGAGACCATTCGTTGGTTTGGTTCGGATATTCGAATTGACTCGCGCAACATCGATCGCGGTGGCCCGACTTCCGGGATCCGCGAAGTGGAGTACGTGGCCTGCCTCCCGGCCACCATGTCTCCGGCCTTCTCGTCTGTGCCCTTTTCGATGTCTTCCTCCGGGCAATCCCACTGACAGACCCCGCGACCATGGTGCATGTACCTGCACAGGAAAATTGAGGCCTGGTGCCATGACAACCGGGATCTGATCGCCGGATGCGGGTGGATCAGCACCAGCACCTCGAATGCCCTGGTGGATAGCAGCTGGGAGTCCAACCGGCCGACGCGGCTGCAGACCGTCGGTCGGGCCATTCGCGAGGATCACTACGTGTATGGCGTCACCCCGGACCTGTTCAGTGCCTTCCCCGGGAACATGTATGTCGAATCGCCCACCACATTGAACATGCGGCGGTCGATGCGCATGGCGACGACGGCTGAGATGGCCGCCGCGGCCGCCCAATGGGGCGCCGTCAGCTCGACGGCCGAGCAGCAGCGCGCCCTCTCCCAGGCAAAGATGGCCCACACGCCGGAGCTCCTGCTCTCCGGGGCCGGTCGAGGGCGCCTGGTCATGGGGTCCTACGCCCGGCAGGCTTATGGCCTGGAGCCGACGGCCATCCGAGCGGTCGAGCATGTGGCCCGCATCTGGGACACGATCCCGATCTCGCGGAACTCCTCGGCCATTCTGGTGGACGAGACCGACGGCCCGTATAAGCCGGCTCGGCGCCAGCTGTCCATCTTCCATCGTGTGCGCCCGATGGTGGGCGTCTTGACCAGGTGCGCGGTTTCATCATCCTCATTTCGGTGTATCTGGTCTTTCCAACGTTGTCCCTCTGCTGGCTCTTCCGCCACCTTCCCGGCCAATCGATCTCCTCCTGACACCCGGTCCCCTGGCCCGGCCCCCTCCAAAAGCCCCATGTTCACGGGGATGTCCAGCTCGACCGATGGGTATCGGCATTCGGTGACCTCGCTGCCGAACCAGCTGCGTTTGCTTTCCGGCTCCATCCGATCGGTATCACAGACGTGGGGCGAGTGGGATGAGGCTTTCGTCCAAGGCCCCTCGGCCTTCGGCCTGCCGCATCGGCTAGACTGGAGCGAGCGCGTTTACGAAACGGTGTCCGACTTGCCTCTGCGTACTTTCCTGGCGAAACTCCGGCCCAGTATGTGTCCCCGTTTGATGCATTTCCCCCCTGTCTCCAAGCATCGCCCCCCCCCCCCGGTTCCTGACCGACCATGCCATTGCTTTCCCCCCTCGCCGGCCGCCTTCCGCCGGGAATGTGCCTCGGTGCTCAGACGTCACGGAGGCCCAGCTGGAGTACCTGATTGCCGCGGCTCCGACGGACTCGCAGCATGTCGTGCGCGATGTGCGCGATGAGATCCCGAGCCTGGCTGGGAATGCCCCGCTCTTGACGTTCCTCTTCCAAGGTGTTACCATCATCGTGCTGGTGGTGGCCTTCTTTGCCCTGTACACGGCCATGGCGGCCAATGTGGCCACCCAGCGGTCGTTCCTCTTCCAAGGTGTTACCATCATCGTGCTGGTGGTGGCCTTCTTTGCCCTGTACACGGCCATGGCGGCCAATGTGGCCACCCAGCGGTCGGAGATCGGTGCCATGCGGGCCATCGGCGCCGGGCGGTGGTTTGTCTGGCGCGTGTATGCCTATGAGGCCTTTGTGCTGGTGGTGGCGTCGGCCATCCTCGGCTCGATCGTCGGGCTGCTGATCGGCTGGTCGATCAGCGCCCAGCGGGCTCTCCTGACAGGCATCCCGCTGGCTTTCCTCTTCCCCTGGTTGTCTGGCGCGTGTATGCCTATGAGGCCTTTGTGCTGGTGGTGGCGTCGGCCATCCTCGGCTCGATCGTCGGGCTGCTGATCGGCTGGTCGATCAGCGCCCAGCGGGCTCTCCTGACAGGCATCCCGCTGGCTTTCCTCTTCCCCTGGACGCTGGTCCTGACCGTGGGAGCGGGGGCGGCCCTGTCGGCCCTGCTGGCCACCGCGGTTCCGGTGGCGCATCTGGTTGCTGGTGGCAATGGCACCGTCGTGCGCATCATGCGTGGCGGAACGTCCGACTGAGTGTGCACGCGCGCCGTGCGGGCGACCCCCACCGAAAAAGGTGCCGAGCGGGAGGAAGCAAGCCAACTCGAACAATGGCGCCGCGCCCCCTCTGCCTTGGTGTTCTCTCTCCCTCTCTCTCTCCCTCTCTCTCCCTCTCGTAGACATCCCCTCTTGTAGCAGTCTCCCTGATAGCCTGCTTCCTTCCTCCCCTCCCTCCTGTCCCCCTGAAAGCCGCCGGCTCCGAGTTAAGGCCGGTCGGTTAATACACGTGATGGGGCTCCTGAAATGGCGTCTCTCCATTACCCTGTGCGGGGCCGTGCCCGCGGTCGACTCTGCTCGCGGGGCCTTTCGGCGTGAGGGGGGGCCCGGGCGGCCAGTCATATGGGCGTGGTGGATAGCCGCAGCCGGCTTCCCGCCCCCCCCCCCCCCCCCCCGGCGAGCGTGTGGGGAGAATCCCCGGCTCCGGCTCTGTGTGGAAGTGGTCCTGCGTCCGGGTGGCCGGGGACGGTGGGGAATGTGCTTGGACCGGGGCGTGGCGGTGTGTCTGGGGCGGCAGGGACCTAAAGAATCGCTGGCTGTGGCAGGCTTTTTTTTTCCCGCCCGCCCCCCCCCCCCTCGCCCCCACCCCCTTGGAGGGGGCATGTTCATTTCTTGACATATTGAGTACTGACAATGTTTCTCTTTTCCGAACGCCCGTCTGGGAGCCGCGGATGGGAGAGGAGTGTGGCTGAGGGATGGCCCGGTGTCGGAGCGGAGGATGTCGAATGCAAAGGGAGGGTGGGCTTGGGAGAGCAGCCAAGGGGGAGGGACATGGTGGTCGGGCGAGAGGACGGCCTCAAGGTGCTGCAAGGTGTGGGCTGCCCGCCCAGGACGAAAGAGAGCGTCGGGTGCCTGTGCGCGCGTGGCGGCCCGGGGATTCAGACCGGGGTCTTGGTTTCGGGCTCGGGCTTGGGCTCGGGTTCGGGCTCGGGCTCGGGCTCGGGCTCTTGGGCAGGGGGATCGCCCACGGCCCAGGGACCGAGTGCCCTCGGTCAGCCGACCCTCGGGATGGAACAGAGGGATTTCTGTTCCACGTACCATATGCCTGGGGGGGGAGGGGGGCGAAGGGGGATTGCGAGGGGCCCCCGATGGCACGGTGGGGTGCCGCGCAGTGGCTCGTCGGCCCCTTTGCAACTCCGGCCCACCGACCGCCGCCGGACCGGGGATTGTTTGGGGAGGCCGGGGGGGGGGGGCGGGGGCGGGGCAGCGGGAGCACAGGGGGCCACCGCCCGTGTGGCGGGCTGTCCTGCCTTCTTGTCGCGCGCGCGCGCGCGTGCTCGCCTCATCCTCCCGCTGAGACCCTTCTCGCGCATGTGGCGGCACATGTGCGCGCGCGGGAGCGGCCCCCGCGGTAGCGGACTGCCTCGGCGTTTTCACAGGGGGTCGGGCCTCGCCGGCAGGAGCCGTCGGGCAATCGGACGAAGGGCACCCCGGAAGGGGGGCAGCCTGGCTGCACGAGAGCGGCTCCGGAGAGTGAGGGCCGAAGCCGGCTGCGAGCCAGCTCAGCGGGAGGCCCCATGCGCCAGGGGCCATCGTCGGTCGTCAAGACGCCAGGTGCTCAAGGCGCTTGCTGCTGGAGGGGGTCCCCTTCGCGGCTGGTACATAGCAAGCGCGGCCTGGGTTGGTGCCCGAAGGCCCGGGGAGGGCGGGGCGCGGGGAGGAGAGAGGACGAGTGTGGCTGTCGCGCGCCCTTTCAAGCGATATTTCCTGGGACTCGGCTCCGCCCGGGCTGTGCCTTTCGGCCTTGCGATGCGGTAGACGGACGCAACCCATCCTTGGCCAGGTGGCGCTGGGTCCCCTTGGCCCCGGGGACGCGCCAGCCGGCCGAGCATGTCCCCCGTGCGCGCACGCGTCTCCTCCTCCGCCAGGCCGGATCTTTGCCCGGGCCCCGGAGAGCGAGGGGCTCCGGGCGGTGCGGACAAACACCCCCCCCCCCCCGCTGGGCGCCGGTTACAATAATCCAGGTACAATGTTCGCCTGGTTCTCCCGGCTTGCATTTGACGCGGGCCACAAGGCGGGCCCAGGCATGGGCGGTCCCCGGTACCGCACGCGCCCCGGCGGCTGTTGCCGCGGCCCGGCTGGCCATCCTTCTTTTGTGCGCCTCAGATTTTGGGAACTCATCTCCGGGGGCTGGGTGCGGCCCGGGGGTCTCAAGACTCGGCGGGCGCCGGGGAACCGTGGGGTCCTCGCTCCTGGCCGGCGCGCCCCCGCCCCCTCCTCCCGGGACCCGACCGCATGCCCAGCGATGACTGGTCCCCCGGGCCTTTGTTTGAGCGGGCCCCTGGCCCGGCGCGCGCCTAGCCCGCCTCCGGGGGTGTACGGGAGTGCGGGCAGCCACCCCGTCGCCCCGGGGGGAGGGGGGTGGCTGCCCATCCTGCATACCTTTTCCACGACAACGGCGGTCGCCCTAGCTGGCGGCAGACGCGCCCCCGGGTTCGGGGTTCTCTTCCGCTCGTGTGCATCCCCGCCCTCGCTCATGCTGAGCCTGCTCCCTGGTGGGACAAATATTGCCGATGTCCCCCTGCCTCGGTGCCCTGGTTCCGGGTGGAGATCTCCCCCGGGCCCCCTTAGCACCCATCATCTGTGCGGAATATACCGCGGTCGCGCGCACGCGCGCACGCGCCAGTCCCAATGCACCGTGCTCTTTTTTCTTCGGCACCCAGCAAGTAAGGTGGCCCCCCCCCCCCCCTGCGCCTGTGCCTGCCCCTCCCCCTCCGGCGGCACCGGGCCCCGCGTCGGGCCCATCCAACTTCAAGGAAAGGGGGGCCGGAGGCATGCTCGCCCATCTAGCGTACGTGCGCGCGCCACCTCGCCCCCCTGCTGTTGCCGGGGGCCGGGGAGGACGCCCTGGGCCTTTGCCCACATCCGCCAACACACATGCAAACAGACGCGCCCAAGCACACATCCATATCCGCATGCACCCGTTCGATCGCACAGCCCGGCCCCCCCCCCCCCCCCCAATGTGTGGCGATGGGGTGTATTTTTCCCGCCATCTCACCGGGCCTGACTCCCCGGCAGACGGCACTCCCCTTCTCACTCCAGCCGGAGATCTCCCCGCGCGTCGCCCCCCCCCCCCTCCCCCTCTCCCTGCCTCCCCCTCTCCCTGCCTCCCCCTCTCCCTGCCTCCTACCGCCGCGTGTGTGTGTGTGTGTGTGTGACCGGGGGCCCCCGTACTCTCCCACCGCCTCGCGGAGCTCAGCCCGACATCCTCCCCCTCTGCGCGCGCCCTCCTCCGCATCCCTCCTCCCTTGTCGGATACCTCTTCCGGCGAGAGAGGAACAGGAGCCCGCCCGATGAGTGCCGCGCGCCGGCCGCGCGCCCGAGGGGTGCCCTCTCTGTCCGCCACGGCGTCAGCGGCCATCATACTTTGGCTGATGGCCGCCGCGGTCGGCGCGGCAAATGTCCACCCGCCGGCAGAGGCTGCCATGGCCTTGCCGATGACCCACTCAGTTTCGGGGGTCTCCCCTTCCGCGAGCGACTCATCCGCGATCGTGATCCCCGACACGTCTTCCCCGCTGGAGATCTTGGTCATCGCGATTTTCATGGGGACGCTCCTTTTCGACATTTGCTGCCTGGCGTTTGTCTTGGCCACCGGCGGCCGTCGATGGCCGCCACTGCGCGTGCGCCAGCTCGACGCCGTCGCCGTTACCCTGGTTGGTGCGCACCCCCACTTGGGAAGAACCTCAAGCTGGCCGGCGAGGCGGCCGCCCTTGCCTCGGCTACCATCCATGCTCCAACGCCGCTGACCCCATGGCCCTGGCCTCCTTTCAGGTGTTACCTTTACAGGTTTCGGAGTTCTGTCCATCAACCGGTTTTTTCCTTACTTCGGCCCTTGGCAATGCAACCTCAGCTGTGCGTCCTGTGCCATCCCAGCTCCTCTCTCTCTCTCTCTCACACACACACACACACGGGCTTTCCTGCACCAACTGACCCGGGACATTGTCCTTCCCCATCCTCCTCCTGCTCCTGACTCCTCCCCGCGACCAGGGTGGATGATGATGTCCCTCGGCCAGGGGCCCATCCTCTCGGGGTATTTTCTCCGGATGTGGCGCGTGCGTACAACACTTCTCTCCCTCCCCCTCCCTCTCCCTCTCCCTCTCCCTCTCCCTCTCCCTCTCTCTCTCTCTCTCTCTCTCTCTCTCTCGAAATGCTCGCCTTCCCACTCAAGCTGACCAGGACCCTTCCGGCCCGCTTGATGCTCACGCGGCTCACATGCACACACTCGAACATGTCGCCATCCCATTCGGGTGTACACATGCGCACCGCACGAACATATGCCTACCCCTGTCCGGGCACCCACCTTCAGCTTGTTGTCATTTTCAAGCGTCAGATCCGGAGTCGATACATGATTGTCATTCCGATGGTGCTTTTCTGGCTTCCCTCGGTCGTGGTGTCCTCGATCAACACGGCCCTCGATCTCAACTCGCCGACGATCATCGTGCGTCCTGCTTGCTCCCGGCTCTCGGTGGACGCCCACCGCCTGTTCGGCACATCTGACCCCCACCCATGCATGAATACGCGCCATATATTCGAATGTAGGACGGCGTCCTGGCCTGTCACCAGCAAAACTCCCCCTATATCACTTTCCCCTCGACGGTCATCTTTCTGGTGCACTTTGTTGTCCTCCTTGTACGAGATACCCGCCCCCCCCCCCCCCCCCGCTCCCCGTGCAGTATTCTCACCCGCTCTCGGTCCCCTTTGTGAGCACACTCAGTCCCTTATCCTGTCAATCCGGCGATTTGTCTCGCCGCCCCAGTCGTCACAGGCCACCCCCCATCGCCGCCTGCTGCGTATGGAATACCGCCGGTCGCTGATGCACGTCCTCTTGAGCGCCCTCTCGCAAGCTCTCTTCATGGTGTTCTGGTTTTTAGGGGCGCCGTACACCTGGGGCTTGCTTGGCCGGCTTCTGATGGTCACCATGCCCTTCCTCTTTTCACAAACCATCTTTTGGACGACCGTCGGCACCCCTCTGTTTGCTTAGTACGTGCTGCCGCTCCCCTCTTATGCAGCCACCGCTCTTCTCTCTCTCTCTCTCTCTTTCTCTCCCTCTCCTTTACTCCTCCTCTTGCATGTGCGCTCTCTGACACAATGAACAGCATCTTCAACCGCGAGGCCTATCTGAAGGCCTTTCTCGAGACGCTGAAAATCGGCAGCTCAGCCGGCTCGGTGCCTGATGACGCCACCGACTTGCCCGCCTCTCGGCTGTACTTTTGTTGCTGCTTTGCCTTCGCCCGACGCCGCGGGCCTGGCTCGGCCCAAGGCGCTGACGACCGGAATGCCGGGGGCATTTCCAAGGCTCGGCGAACTTCCCTCTCGGCCATCTGGGAGACTCCAAACGAGGAGTCCCTCGGGACCTTTTCCCCCCACACCACCGGCACCCTGTCTCCGGGGAACTTGTGCCGAAGCCCTCCCTCACAAGTCCTCTACGGATCGCAGGACTTCGCTCGGGCAGATCTCGATCCGCAGGTCATCCAGGGTACGTGCCCCATGTGTCGGGCCTGCCGCGCTCTGCCTTTGTCTGAGGCGGGTCTTTTTTTTTTTCTTCCACCCCTTCCGATTATGGGACTGTTTTTCCCTTCCTCCCCCCCCTTCCCGGTTGCCATGCCCAAGTACATCCCCTTTCCGTTTTTGCTTCCTCCCTCCATATACTCACCTCCGCCTGTGCCCTCCCCTGATCAGCCCTTGCCATCAATGGCGATCCGATCTTTCACCGGCGGATGCGCCTGCTGCTGGCGGACCCCGAAGTGGTGTTCGGCAATCCACCAGCTGACCACCCTCAGGAAGGGGACTTGGTCACCTCCCTCAGTGGGACATCCCTTTCCGGCGACTCGCGGGTCAGCTCCCCAGACCATTCGCCACTTGCCTGTCCAAATTGCTTCGGCATTGGCATGGCCTCCGGGTTGTGTGGCGTCTGCGGGCTTTGCGGCATTTGCGGGGCATATTGCAACGCCTCCGACCGGTGCCTGGCCGTGGCCAGCTCCAAGCATTTGATGCTCCTTGCCTATGGCGCCGAGGCGCTGATGGACACCGAGTGCGCATCCCCTGGAGTTGCAGGTGTGGTCGAGCAGCCGGGCGCCGTGGGGAAGGCCCCAAACCCACCGGCCGCGGATTCCCTTGAGGGGGGATCCGCCACAGTCACCCCAATCCCGGCTCGACTCGGCCCTATGGCCTCGGCTGTCAACCAGGCCCCGGCCACGACCATGCCCAGCAACTCCGACTGCTGCAGTGCCGGTGGTGGTTACAAGAGCAACTGCCACGGCAGCCACAAGGACAGCCACGGCAACCACAGCGACAGACACAATCACACGGGGACACAGGTCGTCACCAGGGTCTCCCCCGCCCCTCCTCCGACAGCGACCTTCCCCCTGGCCGCCACGTCTGCAACCACCACCAAGCCGAGCATCCATTCGATAACCGGCTCGATGGAGTTGTCGCCTCTTTCCTCCCCCTCACATCCCCCTGGCTCGCCGATTCAAGAGGAAGCCATCATCCTCTCCTCCGGGCACGATACTCCTCCCTCGGGACCGATGCCACATCCTGGTCGTAACATCCATGCCAATGACGGCGGCCGACCCGCCTCCCCCGATGATGGAAGCCTTGAGTCAACAGTGTGACCACACGGCCGCCATCTGACGGTGGGGGGGGGGGGGGGG